GGCTCCGGCGATCCTTCCACGTCAGCCTTCCGAGTAGCCGGAATTACAGGCACGCGCTACCACACCTAGCTAATTTTTTGATTTATTGTAGAGATGAGGTTTCGCTGCCCAGGCGGGTCTCGAACCCGCGGGCTCAGGCAATCCACTCATCTCAGCCTCCCATAGGCGCGGGATTACAGGCTGAGCCACCGAACCCGGCTGAGATTGGGATCTTTTCATCAACAATTCCTAGGAGTTAAACCTATATTTCATTTATGCTCTTGATATATGCATAATACTGAAACATGATTAAAATCTGTGTCTAAGCCTAAAAAGATAATTTGAGAAGTATGAAATAAGCCAGACACGGTGGTTCACGCCTGTAATCCCAGCACTTTGGGAGGCGGAGGTGAGAGAAATATGTGAGCCCAGGGGTTTGAGATCAGCCTAGGCAACATGGCGAGCCCTCATCTCTACAATAAATTTTAAAAATTAACTAGCATGGTGGTATGCACCTGTAGTTCCAGCTACTTGGAAGGCTGAGACGGAAGGACATGCGGTGCCTGTGAGCATGCCACTGCACTCCAAACTGGGTGACAGAGTGAGACTCCGACTTGAAAAAAAAAGAGAGAAATGTAAAATAAAATGTTTAAGTAGGAAGCATTATGTCATTCAAAAAGCAAAGATTTCCCATTCTTGGTTTTCACTCATGTAACCACCATGGCTCTCAATAGCGCCTTCATAAATATAAAGGTTATAATTAGTAGCATTTGATGCCATCTTCCCTATTAAGGCAGAGTAGCTAGTACAGGTTAGGCATAGATAGATAAATTTCTCATAGGCAGGTTTTTGGATGTGTTCAGACATTTTTCATACTATCTTTTTATTGCAGGCCAGGCTGGAATGTGGATCCACCAACCTACTGCACCTCCTCAGCCAATCAAAATAAAATTACATCAGATGTACGAATAGGATAGCCCAACCTTTAAGTTCATGGTTTGGCATAATAATCACTAAAAATCTTTCAGATTCCATGTTGAATACCATCCCTTAACTAGCCAAAGCCATAGAAGTGATAATAAGATCACCTTTTTAGTTCATGAACTTGTGAATTGAAAAAGTCTAGCAAGTCTCCTGCAAAGACAGAATAGATGTTCTGGGAAAAGACCACCCATCCTCCCATTCCCCCCATCAGAGGTGGAGCAATGGCAGTCTTTCCAGAGCAGTGGTTTAGCTTTTTAGTCTGTCTGGCCTCTCTTCTTTTTGCGAATAAACTGTTTTAAAATTTTGCTGGCTGCTCTGAAAATTATTTCAGGACCAAGTCAAAGAACCCACGAGTTTGTGCTATACCACACCTGGCAACACCTATGTTATAAGAAATAGAAACAAGCCGGGCTCGGTGGCTCAGCCTGTAATCCCGCGCCTTTGGGAGGCTGAGGTGAGTGGATTGCCTGAGCCCGCCGGTTCGAGACCCGCCTGGGCAGCGAGACCTCATCTCTCCAATAAATCAAAAAAAGAAAAAATCAGCTGGGTGTGGTAGTGCATGCCTGTAATTCCAGCTACTTGGAAGGCTGAGGCAGAAGGATCGCCAGAGCCCAGCAGGTCGAGGCTGCGGTGGCCGGGAGCAGCCACTGCACTCCAGTCTGGGTGACAGAGTGAGACTCAACTCAAAAAAAAGAAATGGAAACAGACTTCAAAGAACTGAAATGGCTTGTTTAAGAGCACATATCTGCCCATAGTTGTGACTCCAAAGTTCATGCTCTTTTCATTCCTGGTTTCCACTGCAGTGTTGGTTATGATACTCGTAGATGCTGACATTGATGTTGCTATTGTAGCTTTTAATTTTAGGGGTAATTATTATGTAGAGAAGTAATTATGCTGAGGTAGACATTCCTAGTTCTTTGCATCCTGCACATTTACCCCATCTCTAGTCTGAAGCTTTGGGAAAAAGAAAGACCCTTTTCCTACTTGCTGAACTTGTCAGCTGCTTTTGCTTCCCCACTGGTCCTAAGTATGCACCTAATATGAAGTGACACTGTGAAGTAGCATTCTTTTAGTATGTGTTTCAATCTCTAGGATGGCCCTCAAGCATTCCCTCCTGATTTGTCCCCTTGTTTTGTATAATCCTCTTGAGTTGAATGTGAATTGGGCTTACTGACTAGCCTGCTAATAAACAGAAAAGACATAAGTGCTGCCATATCAATTCTGAGGTTGTGTTTTTAAAAGACTGGATTCTATCTTTTGCACTCTCCTGCTCTAAGGGGGGGAGCCAGCTGCCATCTTGAGAGCTGTTCTATGAAGAAGGCAACACGGCTAGGAGGTAAGGGCAACTTCTGGCCAACAGCAACAAGAAAGTGCGGTATAACAGCCATAGACATGAGCTTAAAAGCGGGTGGCCCCTCAGCTAAGACTTCAGATGAAGCCATAGCCCCGGCCAACACCTTGATTGCCACTTTGCTAGAGACCTTGAGACAAAGAACCCCAGAGAGGACATGCTCGGGTTTCTGACCCATAGAAAATGAGATGACAAATATTTGCTGTTTTAAGCCACTAAGTTTGGGGATACTTTGTTCTGTACCAATAGAAAACCAATATACTCTTCTACTTACGGTTGTTGTACATTCACCAATTTTTTGGGGGTTTTTTGGGATTTTTTTTTTAGTTGGAGTCTCACTCTGTCACCCAGACTGGAGTGCAGTGGCCGCTCCCAGCCACTGCAGCCTCGCCCCACTGGGCTCCGGCGATCCTTCCGCCTCAGTCTTCCAAGTAGCTGGAACTACAAGCATGCGCTACCACACCCGGCTAATTTTTTTGATTTATCGTAGAGATGAGGTCTCGCTGCCCAGGCGGGTCTCGAACCCGCGGGCTTAGGCAATCCACTTACCTCGGACTCCCAAAGGCGCGGGATTACAGGCTGAGCCACCGAGCCCAACTCCAATTATACAATTTGAGTAACCATTATCATACCTTTTTCACAAATATCCAACCCAATGACACCCAGCTGTTGGTGAACTTCTATGTTTACTATCTTATTAGGGCAGATTAATAGATAATAGTAAATTTAAATATTCCCCTCCCAACAGAATCAAAAGCAATAAGTAACAAAACATTGACTAAATTCAGTTTTACTTTACAAATTTTAAATGTTTTCTCAGGAAATACGTAAATCTTGATGAACTGCATAAATGCTTTCTTCATAGTTTGTGAACTATACCTGCAGAGCCTGTAGTCCTTCTATCCTACCCATCTTCCTCTCAAGCGCACACTACGATAAATGGGAGGACGTTGGATTCTGTATAACTTTAAAAATAATGCTCAACTTTTGCTTTTTATCAATAGCAAGTAAGGCAAAAAGCAATAAGCTTCCATGACAACCAGGAAAAGGTATAGGTGAAGATTTTCTTCAAATTTCTTGGCAGGCAAAGAAGAAACAGAAACAACCAGAGGAGAAGCATCAATGAAAGAAGAAGAAGAAAATTGCAAGAAAAACAAGTTGGTGTTCTGAAGGAGCTCTAGTCCAGCCAGGGTCACGCCGGATTCAGAGAGGCCAAAGAACAGCTGAAGAGCCTTAGGAAGCGTCACTGTAATCACAGTGAATGGCAAGTACAGTGGGAGAAGTGGCTGCACTGGGGACTATCTGGGTCTCTTTATACAGACTTACACGATAGTGGCTTGCAGCCAGATCTTGAGCTCAGGGCTATGTCTCACGGTTAGTAGTGTAGGTGTGAGCCCAGTCCATCAGGGAATTCGGGGCAACCCAACTAAGGGCAGGCGATAAGAGAGGGAGGCTATAGGTACCAACATCGGCAAATCCCTTCCCTCTACTAACATACAAACTAAAGTCTGATCCTGTGATAAGATAGCCGGTTTCCTTGGCTTACTATACCATACCTTTTCAGCCTTTTCTGTAATTGTTTGTGGTACTGCATGTAGGAGTAATGGAGAGGCTTGCACTGGCCATAATGATAACACAAATATTGCCTTTGGAATACTAGTGTTGGCCGGGCTCGGTGGCTCAGCCTGTCATCCCAGCACTTTGGGAGGCTGAGGCGAGTGGATTGGCTGAGCCTGTGGGTTTGAGACCCCCCAGGGCAACTTGGCGAGACTTCGTCTCTACAATGAATCAAAAATTAGCCAGGCGTGGTAGCACGTGCCTGTAGTTCTGGCTACTTGGAAGGCTGAGGCAGAAGAATTGCCAGAGCCCAGCGGGTCGAGGCTGCGGTGGCCAGGAGCATGCCACTGCACTCCAGACTGGGCGATGGAGTGAGACTCCAACACACACACACACACACGCACACACACACACACACACACACACACACAGAATACTAGTGTTTTTGCCTCCAGGCGGACAATAGACTTTTACTGTTAGGGACCAAATAGCAGTAATCCATGGTGCGGTTGTCAAATTTCGGGCCAGACCTGTCCCCGACGGGCTATTAGCACAAACCATTGTAAACCGTTGCCATCACCTTCCATATCAAGTCCATTCTAGCCACTCCCCAAGGCTTAGGGCTGTGGGGCTGGCAACAAGATACTCTGTTGTCAACCTAATCCAGGTTTTAATAGATCATGTACTGTTTTCACTGAAGTCAAATGGGGATGGCAGCATAATGCAAGAAGGCTTCCATAGGGCCCAGGGCTCCTGTCCGTGGTTGTTCATTCGAAGTCCTGAGGACTTCCCAGAGATGTTTCATCCAGCCATACAAAGAGTGTCGTGCTGATGAGGTTCGCAGACCCTGTTTTGAGAGACCATTGTAAGCCGGACATGGTGGCTTAAGCCTGTAATCCCAGCACTTTGGGAGACAAAGGTGAGAGGATTCCCTGAGCCCAGCAGTTCGAGACCAGCCTGGACAACTCAGTGAGACCATGTCTCTACAAGAAATCAAAAGATTAGCCCGGTGTGGTAGCACGTGCCTAGTTCCAGCTACTTGGAAGGATGAGGTGGAAGGACTGCCTAAGCCCAGCAGGTCGAGGCCGCGGTGGCCTTGGGTGACAGACTAGAGACTCTGACTCAAAACAAATACAGACCACACTAGGGCTCGATGAGACCGGCCCCTCTCCAGTGGTGGGGAGCGTGGAACTCCCACTCCACCCCCGTTGGTGCTGCCCAGCCTTCCACTTCGGTTCCAGTGAAGCGAGTCCCGCTGTCACTCTCTGTCGTGGGGGTGTCCGTCGGCAGGACGCAGTCTTTCCCAAGCACGGATCGTCGCTTTCTGGTCTACAGCTTTAGTCGGATAAGCAAACAGTAGGCCCGTTGCAGTATCTACCATAGTTACGGCATATCAAACTTCCTTGGAACAAGGGGGAGGCCCAATAAAATCCGCTTGCTGTTGAGTTAGAGGCCACTGGCCTCATCATAGCTGGCCTTGAGCGGCAGGAATACACTTCGGATATTCTTTGGAACATACCACGAATGTAGTGGCCGCTTCTGCTACTTCTTTATACTGTAAGGGCCAATTCCAAGCCTTTGCTGTAGCCCACATTGACTTCTGTCTGGTGTGCAGCAGTCTCTGATTGGCTAAGTCTCTCATGTGAATAGTTCCCAAACGTCAAACTTTAGCCAGTGCATCAGTCTCATCATTTCCAGGATATATTAGAGGTATGTGTCCGGTGATATAATAAACTGTAACATCCTTTTTTTTTTTTTTTTTTTTTTTTTTTTTGGGG